TTGAGGGGTAGTTGGATTCTGTCTGGCGATCAAGGTCTCCGGACGGACAGTAGGCCTACAAGATGCGGGTTAGGTTCTTGTGTGTGTGTGTGTGTGTGTGATCTGGGTGGGATTAGGATGGCTTACGAGGCTGAAGTGGCAGTGCGTTCGAGATACATCTGGCCTGATTCGAGGGTGCGTTTGATTCCGAATGAGTCACCTAGTCGATGGACGAGCATACGTTGGTATGAGTTTAGTGAGTTTGAGAGTGATGAGCTGAGTGGCTGTCGTTGTAGACTGTGTATTTAAGATTCAGTCAGTCAGTATTTTTGCTTCTTCTTCTTCTTTTTGTGGGTAGTAAGTACTGACTCAGTTGATAGGAATCTTCCCATCTCAGTTTCGGCTGCTAGTAGGATCTGTTTGTCTCTGATGGTTCCGTTGTTGATTGCTTCGATGAGTGTTGGGTCGAGGTTGTTGTTGTTCTTGTTCAGTGGTTGTTGTTGTTGTTGTTGTTGTTGTTGTTGGTCGGTTGTTGATGTTGATGAGGTTGATGGTGGTGAGTCTTCCATGATGCTGGTTGGTTGGTTCTTCTTTGGTTTTTTTTTTTTTTTTTTTTTTTTCAATGGGGGGAGCGAGGAACTTAATCAGCCACCAAACCCGATACATGCGGAGAATTCCTAATCTCATCCCCGGGGAGGGGGACACGGGGCGAGATCAAAACTTCCATAGGCACAAACTGAGAGAAATCATCCCACCATCAGAACCGACGACTTTTGTCAACCATCAACCAAATTCAATTCCTATACAACAATCTCACTTCTTCACCACAATAGGTCCGTTGAGGAAAAAAAAACACACATCAGAGTAGGACATCTCCCAAAAAATAAAATAAGAATTCTTGAGCACACCTAGGGGAGGGATATGTTATATCTTGTGTATTTTTCACTTCCACCTGAATCAATCCCTTATCTGCAGCAAACAAGCCTACAACCACAGCTTCAAAAGGCTCACTATCTGACTCTCACATATATAAAAATCCAATGACTCCAAATTGACATTTTAACCAATCAAAAAAGTAAAACTATCTCTTCATCTGAACTGCAGTGTCAGAGATCTCAGGGCCTGTACCATATGGCATCAAAATTCAATTTTTCATAATTTAGGCTTTTAGCAGATTTCATCTTCCTCAAATTATCATATAATCAATGGTGACCATCACCAAAGGCCATTCATAAGCCCAAAACTGAAGAATTTCAACTCTAGATCTGTGCCCTTGTGCTCATCTGTTGTGTAGAAGACAGAAAAAATGCCCATTTTTCAAAATTCAATCCTATGGCACAGGCCCTTATTATCTGTATATAGGAAGAAAACCTTCCCTTTTAGATTCATCTCAAGTCTTTTTTTGTCTTGGTGGGAATCTCTGAAGAGATGTTCCGCAGCACACGAAAAAAAAAAAAACTGAGTTGATTACCTCAGCAAGATCCATAATGTAATGACTAGGATACTACCGTAGACGCGCCAAGACAATATGTATTTAAAAGAATGTCAAACAGACTAGCTAAGGACAACTAAATAGGCAGCGGTCTTGTCAAATTGACGATGTGATGTTTAAAGGTGATGATAATAGTTTCGCGAGATGCAATGATAATGAAGAAAACAAAAATATCGCGATAGAGAAAAGAGGAAAAGAGGAAATGGCTGATAAACAAGACTCTTTAAATACAACAAGACTTCGCTTTCCACTTGGAGAATCCTTCGACCTTTGCTCTGACCTGCCGACTTCCTGCCTATGTCAAACAAAATCTTCTTTCGGAATGGACGTGCGTTAGTACTTATTTCCGAGTATCTTATTTTATCAGAGATTTCTTCCGATTTCTCTCTATACACATATTAATAATCAGTACGTAATTCCGGTTCTTACACATAAACCCCACATCTCTCTTCATGTACACCCCCTGTCCAAAATATACACCCACGGGCCACAGTCACATACAAAATACATTTGAAGGTGAGAAGGATGAGAAGAACCATCATCACCAAGTCTATCACCATCACCAACACCAACAACAGCCAACCATTCAGAACAAGAAATCATCAACTAAAGAAGAAGAAGAAGAAAGACAGCTTTCAGAGACACTTTTCCTCCGATTCGGGCCCACAAGCCGACCCCTACTCGATCTGTTTGTGCGGCTTGCCCGCGAGCTTCGTCCCTACTGACGTCAGACGATTCGTTTCTCGATTCATATCCGATCCCGGGTCTTTGCAAAAAGGTATATGTTTCTACCCCCTTCGTCTCTGTAAAAGAATAACAGGAACGCTTTTCATAAAACAGTTTTTTTCCTTTTTTTTTGAAAGTTCAAACCAAACCAAAAAAAAAAGAAAAAATTGACTTGGTACTTCTGGGGGGTTTGTAGTGATTTACGTACCGGATCCGACGGTTCCATGGACCCTTCAAACCAACCTCTTGCGCTTTACGCGGCCGGAATCGGTCGCAGAAATGGGGCAAGAAGTGGAGAAGATGAGGGGATGGAGGAGGGGAGAAGACGAGGGCGGAAGGAGCTGGAGTGAATGGAGCGAGTATGAGGATCTACCACCACCAGAAGCACCCGAGGTGGCGCTCGAGAAGGTTGGAAAACATTGGATGGGGCGAGGATATGAGCAGGCCTTAGAGCACCAAGCCCGGGAGGTCTCATGGCTCAACAGTCGATCCGCTCTACTCGCAAGCACTCCATCACCACACCCAAAAGACAATCAAGAAGAAGAAGAGGCGCTCGGACATCGGCCGGGAAGAGCCGTCCTGCTCGTCGGCCTGCCGCTCCACTCCGACCCCCTCCAGATCGAAAACACGCTCCTCAACTTCGGCTTCCCCGTCCTCAGAGCCCAGTCCTTGGCCGCGTACGAGCGCTTGCTCAGACGGCTCTATTGGCCCTTCTTGGACCCTTCTCCCTCGTATGCTGTCTTCCCCTCTCTCCTCCCATCCCCCTCCCCCCTTTCGATTCTCAAATTGCAGGATACAAATAATACTTTTCTTTTAACCCCTACTTTCGGTATCTGTCAAAGATGTCTGAGTAATAGGATGGCCAGACCCAAAAAGAACGATTCGAAAAAGAAGACCAGTCGGGCTCAAGTTGTCTACACGCCCTCGCTCACCATCTCCAACCATCTCGTCGGCGAGCTCAACCATCTCGTGCCCTCCTGGCTGGGCTCCCGAGTGTCCAAGAACTCCGAGCTTCTTGGCTTGCCCTCTTCTGGATGGAAGTTGAAGGCTAAAGTGCTCTATTGATCTCCCCCCCCCCTTTTTTTTTCTCTCTTGTGTGGAGGTTCTTGGGGGTGGGTCTGGTCTTGCGCAAATAAATCTTGTCCCTTGCTTGGTCCGGTTTACCTCCTTGTTCACTTTTGAGATCTGTCTTTGAATTATATCCATTTTTTGGGGGTTTTTTTTGTGGGGAAAAAGATCATGAGCTCTGATTGAGTTGTATAGTCTAAAATTAATATTGGTTTACTGAATGATGTCTCGAAACAAGCAGAATAAATATGAGAGTGGAAAAAGCGGAACAATCGAGAATTATTAGGAGGAAGGTCTTATGCTGATAGGAACGAAGAGAGAGAGAGAAAGAGTCCGGAAAGCCTTAGTGGCCGTATCGTCCGTGTGCATTGGTGTCCAACCGCAGAGCACATTGGGTAAGGCGGATTGGCAAGATTTTCGGAGCGAGATTAGTAACCGCCGTAGCCTCCACCTCCACCTCCACCGTATCCTCCTCCATATCCTCCACCGTATCCTCCACCTCCACCTCCACCTCCACCATAGCCTCCGCCATAGCCTCCACCTCCACCATAACCTCCACCATAGCCTCCACCATAGCCTCCACCATAGCCATCGCCATAGCCTCCACCATAACCTCCACCCAGTCCTCCACCGAGTCCTCCGCCAATCTCAATGCCTCCACCATAACCTCCACCGAGCTGAAAGAAGAAAGAATAATCCCACGCGGTCAGCTTTCAGAGACCCCAATAGAGGAGCAAAGAAAAAGGGAGAGAACACTAACCCCGCCACCGTATCCGGCACCATATCCGGCTCCGAGACCACCAGCATAACCTAATCCACCACCGACAGCGGAGGACCCGGCGCCGTAACCGGCTCCAAAGTTAGTGGCCGCGTTAGAGTCGAAGCCATTAGCGCCGTAACCGGCGGCGCCCCCTGCGCCAGAGGCCTCACTGGAGCCTCCGGAGGCTTGGCTGGAGGTGCCCGAGGACTGTTCGAAGCTGTTCGAGCTCGATTGGCCTCCGCTCTCGGCCTGGCCTCCATTGTACCCCCCGTTGAATCCGTTGCTCCCGTACCCACTCGCCCCGTATTGGCCGTTCCCGTACTGCCCCCCAGCCGCTACATTGCTCGTCACCCCCACCTGGGGCGTCGGTGAGCCGTTACTCAAACTCATCAGGCTCATCATCGTAATGCTCACGACGGTCGAAAATCGAGTGGTAAACATCGCTCGTGCGGACGGGTTTTGGGGGCTTAGGAAGACCAAGTGAGCTCTTCTGCGGCTTTCACTGAAAGGTGATAATCGAAATGGACCTGGAAAAAATCGGGATGAATCAATAAATAACGAGGTTCTATGATGCTGGTGATATGGCTTGTTTGAGATGAGATTATTATATTAAGGAGGAGGCCGGCTCCAAAGCGCTAAAGAAAATCGATTTTCTAGGTGGGAAGATGGCTGCAGGGTGAGGGTGATGAGGGATACTTTTCAAAAAACAACCTGAGGCCCCAGTACACCGTCCTTATACTACACGGAGACATCACTATAGCATAGAGGAAGAGAGAGTCTGTCGAGAGAAAAAGCGGGAAGGTAGACTCAAGAGGGCTGCGCCAATGGACACCGGTTGATTCAAGACAGGCCAACAATGGTAACCATCGCAGGCTATTCTCAGCCAATCATCAGTCCTTCAGCAGGCCTAGCCAATTCAGGGACCATGCTACACAATTCTTCCCCCATCGCGCCCATCCACATCTTGCAAAAACAAAAAAAGGCTTGTTGTTGTCGACAAACAACGAGCGCTCTAGAATTTGGTCTCCTCACTGGTCCTTCTACACTTATTGACCAGCTAGAATCAGCCCCAGGTTTTCGGGCGGGAGTTTTTTGTTTAGACTGGCAGTGGCGGATGGTCGAGCGGCTTCATCGCCGTGGCCTCACTGATCATTGGTTACCATCTCACTTGCTTACACCGCCCGGCGATGTGTAACTCGTTCATTGTCGTTGTCTGTCGTCTGCACACTCCCTCTCTCCCTGCTCCTAATCCCTTCATTGCTTTTAACCTTGCGACCTAGTCTTCCCCAAGCCAAGCGGATCCACTTAGATCCCAAAAAAAAAAAAAAATCTTGAGTTAATATGTATCCTTTTCAGGGCTGTTTTTCTAATTACCCCATCGGTTTTTGTCAACTTGTACATCCCAACCAAGCGGGCTTGATCACTGTGTGTTTACGCACTGAGAAGGATCCAGCTTAATGGCTTGAGATCACCAACTCGAGCTTTTTGTCTGGATTCCTGTTTTGTTTCTTTTTTAACATTGTTTTTTGAGTTCCTCGTTTGAAACTAACCGTTCAACTTCGATGGCCCCAAGTTGCAAACAATCTCAAAATCTGGAACTTGGAGATAGAAAAGAGGCAAGGAAAAGGTCTTATATGTATGTTCGCTTGGGGGCGACTGTGTTACAAGTCAGCAAAACACAGGGGGGGGGGGGACACTTTGGTTGCATAGCTCTCTAGGTTCTACTTGATAAGTGACTTGCACTCTCAGTGTCTAAAATCAGAAAGACATCACAAACCAATGAAGCATGGATACCAATGCAAAAAAAACCAAGCTCAAAGGGAAAAAAACATAACCCACAACAGACAAAACCCCAAGAAAGGGAAAAAAAACATAACCCAATCCATAACAGACAAAACCCCAAGATGAATTAGAGACCCAGACAAGAATTGGAAGAAGACAGAATCAGACACCAATTGACGGTTTTGAGAGGATAACAATGATGAATGGATGTCAGTCTTTCTTGTCTTTAATCAATCTACTGAAAGTATCCAATGCAGAAGAAACAAAGCCTTTGGATGATTTAGAAAGATAGTCTTCATAATATTTGGTTGACTTGATTATCATTCCTTTCATATCGTTGATTTTTGCTGTGATTATCACATCCAGAGAGTACATGTATAGTGGATTTTCTGGTTTGATCATCGGCTTTCTTTGCTTCAGATAATCTGATTCGACTCTCTTTAAATGATGTTCAAAGATTCGAAGTTCTTTAATGTTTTGTTCTGATCTCTCTATGTTTTTGGCTGAGCCATAAAACAAGGGAAACGAGAATTCAAAATCAAATTCTTGAAAGCTCTTCTTCAGATAAATTTGTAATTTTTCTATGCTTGCTAGGTATTGAGTACTTGAGGACATCAGATCAAACTTTTCTTCAAAATCCTTTGGTTTTTCTTGTAACCTCTCAAAGCGTTCTGGATGATTTATCTTCTGGTTCTCAATGAGTAGGAATAAGTTCATTAATTCTGTAGGATATATTTCATGCTCAGAGGCTGTGCATGCATCAGTGAACATATGTATCAATTCTTTAAATGTTTTATCTTTGGAATATGAACCATATTGAAATTCAGTCAATGAAATAATGTATCTAGATTTAATATTACTATCATATTCATTCAATAGCACATTTCCAAAAGCTATTATCTTCTGTCTCATCATTTGATTTTGCCAGTGATCAGGAAAATTTTCATAATATTGGAATAATATTTTGGTGTATTCAGTTGAAAACATCTTGTAGTATTCTTCCCCAAGGCCTATTTGAAGATTCACAGTGGAATGAAGAACATTTTAGTGAAGATAAAAAAGTATGAAGCTAAGACTTAATTATTGCCCACCTTCAAACATATCCATAAATGGGAAGTAATACCAATATTGCAAAATGTTCTTGCTACTTAAAGGGAGAATTTTACTGTTTAATTGCTCTCCAAATTTGTAAGACTGGAAAACATATCTTGAAACATCTTCCATTATATGATTTAGCTTGAATATTGAACCCAGATCCTTTGGGGATATAAGATGATACTTGTAAAAGTAATAAATGGTTTCAAAGGCTCCCCTTTGCAGATGTAGAAATCTGATGTCAGGTGATTTAACTTGAAAATAAGTTCTCATGCCAACAATTAGACCCAAAAGCTGCACAATTTGTTTTTTACATCTTTGGTTCATTTCTTCACACTCCTGTTCTTTCATATATGTGTTTAATTTTCTATTCACAAAGGTAACAAGTTTTAGGATGTAAGCATTATAAATCTGAATATTTCAAATTAGAACAGACTAGCTATGTAACTTACATAGATACTTGTTTCTTCAAAAACAATGGCTCAGAATCTTCTATTATGTTTAGAAGTTTATTCTGATAGAAAATCCCATCATTATGTAATTCTGCATCTTGTTCTGACCAGATGGAGCTTGGGGGTACACCTGAAAATTGATAAAGGTTATCTCTCAGAGATTTCCAATCTCCCAGCATGAATCCTGTTTTAAACATTGAATGAAATTCAGTCAAGATTTGAATATGAGCTGAAAGAATTCTGGGTGATATACCTTCCTGGCTGTTCATGACTTTTCCAGCCTCAGATGCTATCAGACAGGTTAAAAGAATCCATCCATTAATTTCTTTGTTGTTGTAAATATGCAGTTGGAACTTACTATTTGCCTCACTTTTGCCAACTGTATTTCGAAGCTGATAAATTCTAGAAATATGTTGATCAACATTTGCTTCTTCTTCTGCAGTTAGAGAGCAAGACTGGCCAAGGATTGCAGTGACTGGGATTTTTCTGTCTTTTTGTCCCAAAAATTGGTGTTCATTTGTCCAATTTTGACATTTGAAATTAAATCTGGTTAGCCTAGGGGTCATTTTGTGAAGATATAGGTTGAATTAAATTTAAAGTAAGCCTACTTTCTCCAATCAAAGGATGTGCAATTTTTTCATATTTTGAGGAAGAATATAATGGGTTGAATGCACAATGAACTGTCTGTGAGAAATATATAGCAAGACATAATGCTGAGAGGTTCTTGCAAGGAAACCCCATTGAAAATCTAAATCTACTTATACAAAATAAGTGAAATAATTCTATGTGTGGTAGAATACTGGGATGTGTTGGATTAAGTTTTGTTGATATGGGTTTGGAAGAGTTAAAAAATGAAAATGGAAAAGGTTCCATTGAAAATAAACCATACACTGGCACATTTTAACACCTGGAAGGAGTTCCCAATTCTCTTGATGAAACTTGTTCCTGAATATCAAACAAGTATGGGCTACAGTAAACACTTTTCTAAGACATGATATGATAATGTGTGTGATCACTTAGGGTAAATATTAGTTTCACGATCAAACTATCAATACTGATTATAAAAACTGTTATTTGGTGATATTGAAACATGTGCAACCCAATATCATCCATCAATGACATAAGAAAATGAGCTGAAACTTGTTCTAGGAATAGAAATATAGACCATCACTCAAACATTTCATGTCAAGACTAAGAAAATTAGCAATGGTTTCACTCAAACATGTGTCACTCTCACTTCCAGGCCAATTTTTGTGATTTCCCAAGTGTTTTTCTAATGAAAAATGGATGTGACATGTCCAATGGAATGGTCTTCACTTCAGCTGAAAGGTATGAACAGCACAACTGGCTTTTATTGTAGATGTAAGCCCAAGTTGTCAAATTCCTTTTGTCTTGAAAGTCTCCTTTTTTGACCTCCATCCGTTGTGCAATCTCTCCTTGGTTCAAGTTTAGAGATGTTGCTTCATACCCGGGTACCTGTAGCGGGTGTGGGTACCTGCCTCAAAAATATCATATTTTGGACACCCACACCTGCCAGGGCCGCCAGGGCGGGTACCCGGGTACCTGCGGGTGTGGGGGTTTTTTTGCAGGCAGATATACCCAGAAATCTCACCCTTGAATTCCTGCATGACTTACTAAATACATGATTGATATTCACTAGATATATGAGTAAGAGTAACATAGAAATAAAGAAATAAAGAAAAATAAACTATTCTATCATTAATTTGCAATTTATCTTCTCTCTGATCTATTGTCTTGAAGGCCCAAGGGTTCCCTCTGGCCTCAACAGGCCCTTGTAGGACACCAAATGGTGTCTCCTACATGGGTTGCTGACACCTTTGTGCAGCCCAAAACACCCAAAAGAGGGAGTGTTGGACCACCAATGACAATTTCAATTCTCATGGGAAGCATTCCCAGGGCGGGTGTAAGGTGAGTACCCGGGTACCTGCCTATTTTTCCCCAAAAGTCAACACCTGCACTCGCACCCACACCCGTTTGCGAGTACCTGTTTTCCAAAGCGGGTACCTGCTGATATCTCTATTCAAGTTCAACTCATCCAAATATCTTGATGGCATCTACTTTGGAAGGAGGCATCAGCTTGGGAGAATAATG